ATAAATTATTCTTTAAAAAAAAAAAAAAAAAAGACTTTAAAGATAAAAGTAACTGACAACCGTTGGTTTACGTACAAAGAAGATGGAACTTTACTTCCGTAGTATTAATCGTGGGGATCGGTTCCGGAATCGACTCTTTGCCCAGCTCTACTTTGCAGGCAGCAATGGTGGTGTCAGTGGCCTGGTGGTTAGGCTACCGGACTCGTAACCGTGAGATTGCGGGTTCGGAGGTTCGACCCTCTGCTCAGTCCGACGTTGTGACCTTGGGGAAAAGAACCTTACGCAAATTTCCCATTTGGCTCTGTCCTTTCGGAGATGGACGTTAAACTCGGAGGTCCGTGTTGAAAGGGGTGTTAAACCAGTACCATTTCACATTTCAGACAACAATGGCATATATTATATAGGCACGGGAGTGGCAGCTGGCTCCTTACCACCCCGGAAGAATAAATTTGAACTGAATTCTTCTCCGCAACTCACACGAAAGTCGTGTAGTTTAAGCAATTGGAACATGCCTTGTATCTGACCATTATTTTACGGAACTTTTTTAAAGCCATTCCTAGTGACTTTTATACCCCCTGCGGCAGACCATAATACTGGAATACTTCTGGTTTGATGGGGCTCGGCATAGTTCGAGTTCCGGTGAATCTTTTATAATCCGTCACACAGGAGAACATTGGAATCTTGATTTAAGGGAGGTCGACATATTCTAGTTAAGTTCTAGTGAACCAGACATAACCTAACTAATCTGAGTCATTGCCTTGCCTGTATTTTTTTTATGGGGTTTTTTTTTTTTTTGGTTTTAGCAGGGATTTTACGGCGCTCGCAACTGCATAAGGTCATATGAGCGCCAGAAGATTAGATGTGTTACAAGAGAGTAACAAACATAAAAAGGAGGGGAGATAAGGACGAAAGATGTTTGATAGGAAAGAAGAAGCAAACCACACTACAGCACCAGCCAACCGCCCACCCTTGCCAGTTGATATAGCCAGATCCATGATAGACTGGGTGTTCAAAATGCAATTTTCGTCACGACGCTCTGGAATCATTTCAATAAAGAGAAGCACATCGACACAATAATGGTCATTTAGCGCTGGAAAGAAGTAGGACATACACACAGACAGACAGAAATAACAGACGGAAAGTAAAGAAGTAGGACATACAAACAGACAGACAGAAATAACAGAGGGAAAGTAAAGAAGTAGGACCTACCAGAGGCGCCCTCCAGATAAGATAGGATCAGATGAGACGAGACGAGAAGAGACGAGACAAACAAGATAGGAAAAGATAAGATAAAATAAGATAAGATGAGACTAGATGAAATAAAATGAGATGAGACAAGACAAACTTTAAAGTCGAGATCCAGGCACACTGGTTCAGCGTTTTCAGCTACCTGCAATTGCAATTATTGCTACAATGATCGTGAAGTATGAAGAGGGGGTATGTACGTTAAAAAAGGAGATGG